GCCATGTTGCAAAGGTTTCCAGAATAGCAATGGTTTCCTGATAAAAGCATTTGCAACTGAGGGAAAAAGAAAATTAGAAGTGTAACATTCTCGCTCTGTATAAATGTGCTGAAATAAGATAGATCAGGCTGCTTTCTTTCACACAAACATAAAAACAAAGAGATGTTGCTGAGAGGATTCTGGTCTGATACACCCATGAAAGACATCAAATCCTATTATACGGTAGTATGAAGCAGTTAAAAAATATGATCTGTAACTATCCACAGACTATTCAATGGACTTTGCAGATGATGAATGCACACTGATCCTTGTCTGAATGGCAAACAGACCACATGCGTATCCAGATCCTTATGGGAACAGAAGAAAAACTCCTTCTCTCGTCTCATCCAAGTCCTAATGCAATTAATAACATCTGCAGAAAGATGTGCATATGAGGAGGATACCAGGTACAGGTAGGAGGCAGGCATCAAAGAGCCAGGGTGTTACACAACAGTATGTGTTGGGTATAACAAACAGCGATGAAGGGTATGGTGAGGGAGACAGAAGAAATTACAAGGAGATGGAGAGAATGATAAAATGGGGGGAGCTGACAGCAAAAAGCGTGGCTAATAAAAAAAATAAGGTGAATAAAGGAAAGACAGAAAATAGAGCATGAAAACATATCAAAGAGAGGAAAGGGAAACAGTTGGATAGAAGAAGAAGTGTGGAAAAACAAATGTCACAGTTCCTTCTTCATATGTTCATGAGGCAGTACAGAAGAGGAAGAAAAGCCAAGATGTGCCAACTGTGGAAAGAAGGCAGAAATAAGGGAGAAAAAGGAAAGTCAAAATAAATACAAAATTAAACTTACAAGAATAGCAAATATAATGAGCCAAATGAAGCACTGACTGAGATCAGAGAAGAGACGCACAAATGCACACACACGACAAATCTTTCACAAGGCTACAATGGCTAGTACTGTGAACGCAAACCAGGTTTCCTGAATCATGTCTGACAACCTAAACCATTCTCCGGAGTGACAGCTGAGTTTCATTTCAAAGCATCACAGAGCAAATCCCTGGGATTTCTTTCTTTCTTAAATGAGAAAATTAATTACATCCCATAAATGTCTACAGTATAACGAGATGTAAATTCAGTGCCTCAAGGCTGGAATAGAAGCTCAGCGCAGAATTTGGCCCTAATTCAGATAACAGCAGTGTCTGAAAAATAGATTTGCCTTTATGGAAAATTTTGACTAGGTTATTTTTTATTTCAAATTGAAAACAAGTTAAAACCAGAACATTGTTAACTTGAACTTTTGAAATGGAGTAAGAACAGCAATTTTAACATAAAGGAAAAATGCTGATGCCATTAATTCCCCTGCAGATATCAGCACATAGCGTTTTGTAATTGAAATTATTTCAATAGGAAAATTTGGTAGCAGTTAAAGTTTTTCATGTGATAAATGTCAATTTTAACAACTGAGAACATTCCAACTCTCTAAAATTCAATCAGTTCTACTGCTAAGTGTGCTGGTTTATATTCATCACCCAACAAAAGTGAAGCAACACAAGCAAAGAACAATGAGGGAAAAACATGTCCTTTCAAAAGCCTCAGAAATATTTTATGCTCATGCAAGCCTGTCTTCCTCCCACTCTCCTAGGTTTCTTCTCAGAGCTACTCTGTGGAGCTACTCAGAGCACCACAGTTATTTTTCCTTATATTGTTCGTCTCCACCTGGTCCCTCAAACATTGCTTCTCAAGCATCTCAAACACTTTCAGGTAACTCACAGAAGACGCATTTTTCCCCCACATCTCTGGTTGCTGGACACATCTTTCCTTCATGCAGGAACTCAGTGGGAAATCCCAAGTACTCCAGGATCCAAGCTCTGGAAGCTTTTTGGAAAAGCAGAGGCATTTCCTTTAGTAGGAACAGAAAGACCCAGATGTTCTGCAATATAATTTTGCTCATATAGTAACACCGAGCATCATAGTTTCTGCAAAACTTTTTGGTCTTTGCTGTATTTGTCTGTAACAACAGGTGAACAACATTTAAACTGGTTTTAGTTACTTCAGTTGATGTCACAAAATTTAGGCAAGTTTATCTACACCCATTTCAAATCAAATGAGGGAATTAACTTTCAGTTAGATGTTCCAAGGAGTACAGGCAAAATGACCTAAGCATGTAACATTGCCCAAAGTATCCCGATCTTCCATGGTACAGGTTATGTCATTATATGTAATTATAACTAATTATCTGTGTATCACCGAGCTGGGTCCTCGTACACTTCGGCTGGCTTGCAAAGCACAGAGGCTTGGCCACAAATGCCCGGTTTCACATTAAAAACTTAGTTCCTGACAACATCTTTTCACTATTATTGACGTACTACAACAGCACCTATCTTAATAAAGAACATTAAAAGAGTGTTACCTCTTTTATTGTGTAATGATGTAAATATTAAATTCTTAATCATTACTTCTCTAGAGCATTTAGAAATTTCTCTTTATCAGGGCAGAGAATGGAAAAACGCATTTCTTCACATTTTCTTGCAAAAGAGACATCTTGGATGCAGAAGGTTTTCTTTGATTTAAAAAATTATTCAGTTTGAAGCAAAAAAAGGTGTTAGCAGCCCTTTTTCACCCTAGTGGGGTTTAATTTAAATGCTGAAAGTCTACATTAGTGCTATCAGCTTACTGCGGTAGGAATACTCCCTAGCATTGTATTTGCATAGTGATACTACATGGTTATATAAGTCTTTTGTGAAAAGCTGATCTTTGGTCAAATTTTATTCTCCAACTCTAATCATCTCCATGTAAATCTGGAATTGTTGCATTATGACTTAAGTAAAACTACTTTAGACTTCTGCCTCTGAAAAAAAATTAAATTACCTTGAATTGGGAAAACATACAAACCCATGCTCACTTTTAAGTGTTTGAATAACTTCACTCACTTTAATAGATTATCTACATACTAAAAGTACATAGTTATGTGGGTTTTGCCCCCTTGGAGTCTTAGCATATCAAATCCGTTTTTAAATTGCATGGTCATGGTCTGTTCATTGTTCTGTTTCACTAGGGAAGAGGAGAACCGAAGCTGAAATCCTGGTACAAAAAAGGAGAAAACAGCTTTTAATGGAGAAAAGAAAAAAATAAATAAAATCAACCTACTTACAGAATATACATACAATACTGCTAATAACTGGAGTTTCCTAGGAAATCAGTCATGACAGATATTCAGGACAATCACAAGAGCACAGTATTTCAAACTAAGCTATTAAAAGTCAGTGACGAGTTGGGATAATTTACTAGAAACTGTCTACAGTATCTTTGTTCCCTCTCGGAAGAAATCTGTGGTTAAATAGATGGAAACTGAAAGACTTTTCAAATATGGCAAAAAGTATTCTACTTTCTAGAGAGCACTCAAGAAAAAGAAAGGGAAAAAAAAAAAAAAGGCAGCTTCACAATCTCCTAGTGCCTTAAATAAGAAGTAGTAAAAAAAAATAATTTTTTTAACTTTTGATGTTTACAAAATTTTCTGGTATGTGGATTATGAGGAGTGGTTCCAATGCCAAGGCAGCAGTTCCCATGGCCCCTGTCTTTTGCCAATGTTTCAGGTTCTGTAAAGTCAGCTTGTCTTACTTTATATCGTCTTTCTCACTTAAGCTATCACATTTTGGGAGGCCCACTAAAAAAAAAAAAAAAAGGTATTTTTTTCCAACCTAGGAATAGTCCTAATGAGATCTTAAGGGAACACTAAAAAACTATCTTTATAAAAATAAACTTGTTAATCACACAAAGAAATGCAAAGGGTCTGCAGTTTTATTTCATGTCAGGGCCTTTCCCCTCTCCCTCATCGTTTTTATACAAACACTTCTGAGATTGTTGAATCAAATTTGAACATTTGGCTTCCAAAAACCCATGGACATTTTGTCATTTATTCCAGTCTGAAACTTTTGGTGCAAACATGAGCCATCTTGTCAGCAGCTAAATAGCTTAACAATTACTTATTTCTATCTATCCCCCTTGCACGGAACTTAACTAAGTAGGCATAAAAAACCCCAGACCTCATGGCACAGATGACATGCACATGGCTGTAAAATAGCCAACAAAAAGTATTAATATAGCATCGAAATGCATAATTAAACCCTTGAAATTTTAAAGGAACATTTGATATGTCTTGAATAATTGTGTCCACATTCTGGTAAACTCATCTGGTTTTTGTACGTGCAGTTATCAAGCTTAAGAAAAAAGCCTTTTCTGCCCTGTGTTCTTATGTTTAGTTACTCCACAGAACTGTTTCATTGCAGTGGAGTTAATAGATTAAAAACTCTGCTATTTTCATGCTTAGGAAACTGCTGAGGAGCTGCTTGCGTACATGCCCAGCATTTATAATGATCTTTCTAGGGACCGAGACTGCCAGACACAGAAACTTGCAGTAATGAGCCCTCAACAAGTACTAAAGAGTGCAACAGCTTTTTTTATCTGCAGGTCTTTTCAGTTGTTCCCCTTTTTCTACCTGAGTGACAGAAGAAACTAGCTGCCATCAGCTGAAAATGTCTCTGCTTGAAGACTGCTGGATCAGGACAGTCCCTATGGCTTTTCAATGGGGAGAAAAAGGAGGGGCTGAGGGTCAACATTCCACCAGATTTTTTCAGACCAACAGTGAAACAGAGAAGGGGGGGGGGGGGG